TACAATAAACGTGCAATCAATTTACAAATTCATGAATTATTCACACAAAAAACTAATGCAAAGGTTAATGATTTAAATGGAGAAATCCATTATTATCAAACAATTCAAATTTTTCAAATTTTTTTGTATAAAATTTGAATTGTTATTTATATTGGATCTTTTGATAACCTTTGAAAATTTAAAAAATTATATATATATATCTGCAGATTTAACCACTAAAGAGTATATATTGTTGACAAGATCAGGTTTTGATGAAAAACGGCAAAACTGAAAACTTTATACGTTTTATGGCATTAGCGATTGATAAAGTTTAAAACTGAGTGAAATCAATATATATATTATATACGACCGCCCGACGCGTTTTAATTTCCGTAAAAAAATATCCAATTAACGACTTCTCCATTTGCAGAAGTTCCTTTATAATTGGTCGCATTGTTCGAACAGGCGGTTGTATTTTTTTTTTTTTTTTAACAAATGAAAATTGTATTATTTCTTTATTTAATCATTTTATCTGGATTTAATCCAAATTATATATGAATTTCTGGTATGAGATTTTACCGTCATTATTCACATGCGGACAATTGCTGTTTCGGTTGTTGCAAACAGCCTTCATCAGGTATAAATTCAATGTAAACAGTAATTATTTTAAATAATTCTAAATCTAACAAATTAATTTGGAAAATATAACAATTACAATTTATCTAGAAATATAAGGCGCTGACGTGAATATTTAATATTGAACTGAACCTTTTATTTAATTTACAGGACTAGATTGTCTTCAATCCACCTCCCATATCTAGATATATCTACTGTTCTTATTTCATTGATCGTCCAGCCTAGAGATTGAACTCACAATTACTATGTCACAAAATTCCTAAACCTTTAATCCACTATACTATTGTCCCTTGGGACAATTCTCTGTGGAGAAGTTGGAGCATTAAACCCAACCTGACTACTGATGAGTTGGTGAGTTAGTTCTTGAATTCGGTGATATAATTTTCATTGTTGAGTTCAAATAGGGTCGTGCACCAAAATGGAATAATAAATAACATATAATATATCATATACAATAAAAATAAGAGATCCGTCGATTGGTGGTATCACGGCTATGACTAACTTGAACCGGCTCTGACCAAATTGATACTTATTATTTTTTAAATAAGATCCGTATAATATTAATGAACTATTCTACCAGTTCATAAAAAAAATAACCAGCTATAACCAAATCGAATTATATTCTCCATATTAAAAGAGACCTTGTGTCAGAACCTGACTCACTGGTGGTGGGGGGACTTCAAGTAAATTTCTACAGATACAACAGAAGAAAAATTAATTTTTCTAAAGGTGATTTTAGTTTACTTATCTTTAATGGGTAAAAAATAACATTTACTTTCATATTTGCATCTACGATCTCAACCGTTCGACTGGTGAAAAGAATTTTGTTTGGTTTATGAAAGGTTGCCCAAAATTATCAGTTTTTTTCATCAATTCACCCAAAGCAAGGCAATAAAGCCACTAAAATATTAGATTGATTAAAGGTTTCTGAATGTTAGAGTATACTGAACTCAACTACTATTATGGAGAGAGACAATAAAAAAACAAGAACTAAGAAGACAGAAGATAACGATTGACACTGCATTTAAATTTTGAATGTCAAAGGCAATAAATTTTAAGGACGCAAATCTTGATATTATTTAGAGAATATGAGAAAAACTACTATTAAGGAGAGAGAAAAATAAAAGAACAAGAATTAAGAAGATAGAAGATAAACGATTGACATTGCATTTAAATTTTTGAAGATCAAAGGCAATAAAAGCCACTAAAACGGAAGGGGTTACTGATTGTTAGAGAATATGAGAAAAAAACTACTATTAAGGAGAGAGAACAATAAAAGAACAAGAATTAAGAAGACGGAAGATAACGATTGACATTGCATTTAAATTTTTGAAGATCAAAGGCAATAAAGCCACTAAGACGGAAGGGGTTAGTGAGTGTTAGAGAATATGAGAAAAACTACTATTAAGGAGAGAGGATAATAAAAGAAATGGAATTAAGAAGACAGAAGATAACGATTGACATTGGATTTAAATTTTTGAACAAATAAGAATTCAGAAGAGAGTTCCGCAAGTATGAAGTGAAAGAGAAGAAAATGTTAGCATAGAACTTACGGTTACATCTAGCCGCCATTTAAAATGTAACATGATGAGAAAATGTCGTCAATCTAGTACTGTACCATTACAGAGAAAGTATTTATTGAAGCAACGTTATTTACAAGACATCTTTCGTTTTGTTTTCATTTAAACTGTCTGATGATACAGTCAGCAGCATATTCTTGGGTTCTTTTTTTTTACAGACAGCAACAGTTAAGAAGAAAGGGGACAGAATCATTCTTTTCTAATGGCAACTGGCTATCTTTTTGTATCTGTCTTCTTCTCTTGATTCAGCAGAGTGTAAGATCATTTTGATTGCTCCATTTTATGGTGACGCAGTAACCAAACAGACAATCATTTCAAATCATTCACAAATGTTGGCAAATATCTGGCGAAAACCCTTTACTTAAATATGTCCTTGTGAAAAGAAAATATAAAATATATATATATATTCTTGGAGAGGCATCCATTGAAGTATGAACTCACAGCAGATGGCAAGCAAAGTGTCACAACGAACGTTTGGTTTGATTTAGTTTCGTTTGTTTAATGGCATATCAACCACAAAGGGTTATTCAATGCTAAAAAAGGTGGTATTATACTTTCCTTCAATAAAGAATTGTGGGTGAGTTTTTTCTCTAGATATCCGGTTTCACTATTTACATTATTCGGACTATTGTTCTCATCTTTGTCGCCATATTTATTACAACGTTTCACGCTCCGACCTTCTTCAGGTGGTTGGAATGTCGAACTGAACCCTTTATTTCGCTCATTGGGGTAGACTGTTCTAGTTCCACGTGTCATGTTTAATGGATGTCAGTTATCAGTTATCTCCTGCTAATTTTCCTCTCCAAGTTGTCCACGTCTTTAACCGGGTATTGAACTCACACTCTTTAAGTCCTGTCACTGCATATAACTAACGTCATTACGCACTGTGCCATGTATCCTTGAGGACATCTGTGTATGAATTTCAGGGTATTATAAATCTAATGTCTTCCACAACCATTTTTTACTTATATAGAAATTTTTGCTGTTATCATTTATGTTTTTACCAGAGCTCATATTGGAATTTTGGTTATTATCGCTTTTCTCAGGCACTCCTTATTACTGCTTTCTCATATTGTATTTATTTCTATGCTTGGTCGGCTCAGGAGATTTTTGTGGACTAGCATATGTGCTGATTCCTTAAGTTTACGAATTTTCCAATACCTCATCTCATAAATATAGACAGATATCCGGTTTCCTAGTTTTATTTTTGCAGATAGGATTTTTTATCAATAAAATAAATGAAAGTCTGGCTTCGTAGATTTTTTTAAAACTTTGTTTTATCGTTATTCTCTCCTGTTTTATATTTTCTTGTATTTTTTCCTTCAACAAAATCTGATTTTGGTAATATTTTTCCTTCAAAAATCTATTTCTGGCAATATATTTCCTTCAAAAATCTATTTTTGGTAATAATTTTCCTTCAAAAATCTATTTCTGGCAATATTTTTCCTTCAAATATCTGTTTCTGGTAATATTTTTCCTTCAAAAATCTATTTCTGGCAATATTTTCTACAAAAATGTATGTAGTATTTTTCCAAAAGATGTATATCTGCTAATTTTTTTTTTTTTTTTTTCAAACATGTATAGCTGGTAATTTTGTTTTAAAAAAATCTATATCTGGTAATATTTTTTTCAAAAATCAATATCTGGTAATATTTTTTTCAAAAATCTATAGCTGGTAATATTTTTTTTCAAAAATGTATTGCTGGTAATAATTTTTTTCAAAAATATATTGTTGGTAATAATGTATTGCTGGTAATAAATTTTCTTCAAAAATTTATTGGTGGAAAATTTTTTTAAAAAGTATTTCTGGTATTAAATCCTATTTTTACACTTTCATAGTGTATTGACCAAGTTTGGGGGTTTAACTATTTGCCCATAGCTGGGACCCTAACAGGTGGTACCACCCCGGGTCAGGATGCACTTGGGAACACCAGCAATTAAGACGTGATTTCACGCTTCTCAAAACCTCCTGATCAGACGCCTTGCTGTTGGATGTAGTTTATCGTCTTACCGAGGACACAGATGCAGTTTATCGTCTTACCCAAAACGGGAATGTAGTTTATCGTCTTACCTTGGACGCGAATGTAGTTTATCGTCATATCCAGGACGCGGATGTAGTTTATCGTCTTACCCAGGACACGGATGTAAGTTATCCTCATACACAGGCGGGACAACCGTTTGTTTGCGAACAGAAAGGAATAACAAGGATTAGATTTTCAAACAGCTTGTATTCGTTTAATATACATGATATATTTACAGTTGTTAAAAAAGTGGAGAAAATGTTGTTTTCGATTGCTGATCATCATGAAAAGCGATTAGGTATAAGGATAATGCCGGGAGTCGGCTGATTTCTTGGGTTGGTTCGAGGCCACTGGATGGGTGTGGCGTGGATTTAGTCGTTGTTTGGGTTCGATCATGGTGGTAGGCTAATTCGTGGTAGGGTGCGAGATGACGACGATAGCGACGATGGATTAGGTATAGCTGACAGGCCTGTAGTGTAATGTTCAGTTGGATTCGATCGGATGTTGTATCAACGAAACGGGGTGTAGTGGTGACTGCAAGGGTATGCCTGTAGCGAGTCGGATTGTCGTGGTGACGGCATTGACAACGAGGTAAACCTGGAGTTGTGTGGTGAAGACGTCAACGTGTTATAAATCGCAGCAGTTAGCGTCGGGAGCCTTGTGGTGCCGAAGCTGGATTGTCGGTCGCATTCTGTGTGTGAAGAGTCGGGTGAGATTAGTGAAGCCTGGAAGTGATAACGGTTATGTTGAGAGAAGCGATCACCCCGTTGACAGTGACAACCTCATGCGTGTCGACAGCTACTACTTTCACCGTTACGTGGGTGGTGCTGCTTTTAAGATCTGGAAGCCCGCAGGGTCATCTCCTTTTCCAGTGGGAACGTTCGCCATTGGCCTCTATCGTTTTCTATTGTTGGGATTTCTTCGTGGACCGGGCGTGATGCGCAGAGCCTATGCACAGAAGACGACTTTTATTGGCTTTCTTGGCATTTGCATCTGGCTGACATGCAGAATGAATCAGAAAGAGAGCTAGTTGCAGCGAAGTATAACAGAAGCGAGCTGCAGCCAAGGCAGAAATATACAAAAAAAATCATTGTCAAATTTACTTTATTCCTATTTACCACTCTACCAAAATTTGAAATTAGTCGCATCCATCTCTCTACCAATTTCAGTAGAATGACATCACTCTCTCAATCTAAGTCTGTTCATATCTGTCGATTTAAATATCTATCTCAGTCTGTTTATATCTATCTATCTATCTCAGTCAAATCTATCTGTCTGTCCATCTCAGTCTTTTCATATCTATCTACCTATGTATCTCAGTCCGGTCATATCTATATATATATATATATATATATATATATATATATATCTGTTAATATCTATCTATCTCAGTCTGTCTATCTATCTATTGATCGCGGTTAGCTGTCTATCTCTGTTGATACATATATATATATCAATCTGTTAATATCGATCTCAATCTGTTCATATCTGTCTAGTGATCTATCTCTGTTTATATCCATCTATTTATGTATCTCAGAATGTTAATATCTATCTATCTCAGTGTGTTCATATCTATCTGTCAAGCTATGTCTCTTCAGACCTATCTATCTATCTATCTATCTATCTATCTATCTCTCTATCTCAGTATGTTAATAACTTCTTATTTCATTGTTTTAATATTTATCGTTCTATCAATCAACCTATCTCAGTATGTTAATACCTATCTCACTCTGTTCATATCTATCTATCTATCTATCTATCTATTACTCTTCAGATCTATGTATCTATCACTCTATTTATGTCACTTCAGATATCTATCTATCTATCTATCTATGGAGGGTTACTGAAAAGGACATCGACATTCATCCCCAAATCTCGTGGACCGGTTGCCACCGATGGCTATAGGACAAAGTCTGGTCTGCTATTTACCCATTGGCGGATGGGGTTAGGGCTGAATGGATTCATACCCTCTCCGAATTTGCCTATTTGCACGTAAGGGAATGAAACAAACTAAATTCCTGCCCTACCCATTATTCAGCCACCCAAAACTTTCAATTTATGTATATATATGTATATATATATATATATATATATATATATATATATATATATATATATATCAACTTGTCTATATCCTTCTCATTCTCTGTTCCTATCTCGGTCTGTTCATCTATCTATTTCATTCTGTTTATATCTATCCATCGATCTATCTTCCTCAATCTGTCTTTCTACATATGTATCTATATAAATTTGTGTATATATATATATATATATATATATATATATATATATATTATATTGACAACAATAGGTTTATTTGATTATTAAATATAGTCTTTTCGATGTGTGACATGTAGAATTCCGCGAACATAAGACCTAGAGGAGAACCCATAGATACACCGTCGATTTGGGTATATATATACAGCGTTAGGGATTTGTGAGATGATCAGTCGGAGAGGATTTCCTAGTCTATGGGTTTCTATCTTCTCGTAGATGTAACCGGGTTGATAATCACCTTTCATTTTTGTTAGCTTATTTGACTATATATATATATAATTTTTTTCATATCTATCTATCAATGTATCTATCTGAATATGTTCATGTGTATATATTTATGTCAAGGCGTTCATATTTATCTATCTCAGTCTGTTCATATCTATCTATCTATCTCAGTCTATTCATTATCTATTTCAGGCTGTTCTTATCTATCTATCTATCTATGTCGGTCTGTTCATATCTATCTCTCTATCTTAATCGGTCTGTTCATATCTATCTATCTATTTCAGTCTGTTCATATCTATCTATCTATCTATCTATCTATTTCAGTCTGTTCATCATCTATTTTCAGTTTGTTCATATCTGATTTCAGTTTAGCTGCCCGAGGGAGAGGTTTAGCCGAATATCCTTAGGCCTTTTTTTCCCAGAAAGCTGCTACCATAACAGAAGAACGAACACGCCCTCTCTCTCTCTCTCCTCTCCCCCCTCTCTCTCTCTCTCTCTCTCTCTCTTATCAACTTAATCAGACACTGCCTCGACGATGACAAATCCGTTCGCTAATCTGTTCATTTGTAATGTTTACATTGTTCGTCTTCCCCGATCGTCCCTTGGCGTAGAGCGATGGTAAACATGGTAGTGGAGATAATTTTGATTCTCACCCGGTGTCTGTCTTTCGTGACCTTATACCAGACTATGTTAATACATTTTCATTTTCTGTGATTTTTGCAAGAGCTTTCTTTTCACGCAAAGGATCTGAAAATGAATTTTAATAATATATAGAGAAGTTGAAGCGTTGGTCTCGCTGTTGGAGATGGTGTCCCGATGTCACTGTCAGCTTTTCCTTCTCGTAGGTGCGCTTCCATTCTCGCTATGAATTGTTTGCACGTGCGAGGGATAACACGCGGCAGAGAGGCTATTAACGAAGATCACATGAATTCCCAAAATAAGAGACCAAAAAAAAAATAAAAATCACTAATTACCTCCGTTTGCTCAAGGCAACACGCAAAGTTGTTTGTTTTATTTTATTTATTTTATTCTATTCAATGTATGCAATCTGAAAAGGATTGTAACAAGGAGGTTTTTGTGAGAAGGTCTCTCACCAATGTTCCGTATTTTCAAAGCGCTTATAAGTGTACAAAGAGACACGTGTACATAAAAATATTTACAAATCTCAGATTAGTCTGGCACAGGAACAACTGTAATAGGGCACCCAGTAAAAACACCTTACACCAGCGGTTTACAAGTCTTGTGTAACAAGATAAAAAAATATGCTTAGCTCTTAAATGACACAGGCCACAGTGTTAGATCATCAAGTAAAAATTGGAATCAGTAATTTAATCTCACAAAGGTTAACAGCAGAAGGGTACCCAATGAGGATCATCGATTGTAATAATAAGCTTCTTGACTAGCTTGATAATTATAGCTTTACGGTAGGCGTCCTGACCTAGAATAGGCTACTTTGGCATCAGGCTGCTGTTGCCTTTGCCGCTTGTTCGAATCGAATTTACTAAAATTGTAGCATTATCGAGTTATCGTGTAGATTATTATTGCGTGGATGCGCGTTGTCGTACAGTGGCTAACGTCACGGAATGATAAAGCAGAGAGCAGAGTTCGAATTCCAGTTGGGTTCGTTAAATTTATTTACGCGAAAAAACCTCTGGGAAGTATGAATCCATCTCTTCTCCTCCGACCTACGGGTTAATTAGGGTCCTATAGCCTTGCTTGGCAACCAGTTTGTCGTTTCTTTCTGCAAATTTCAGCGGGAAAATATTCTGCCTAGTCAGTTATGAATCGAGTACGTTTATCGCGTACAGCTTAACTGACTGAGTGACTTCGATCCTCATTGGGCACTACAAAATGCTTGTCTGACACGTGCTGTAGATAGGATGTTAGTAATTGAGTCTCGTAGAGCATTTTCTGGGACATCGATTAACTGATCACAGATTATCCGAATGTTAGATTATTATTTATTTAAAAAAAAATATGGTGATGTAAATATTTAATTTTACAATTTTGTCTTGAGTATAAATAAATCTATTACGAATGGCCGTGCTTCCTGGTTTAGCTGTTCCAGTTTCTGGGAAAGAAAGGTTGTCAATTGGCTTCCGTATATATGGTCATTTTAAGCAACACAGAGAATCAGATATCAACACCTGTAGTCTCCATTAATGAATCTATACGACTTTTCTTGGAGTAGTATGAAGCAGAAGACGAAGTCGACGCCGTCATGTTGGCCCCTTCGTCAAATGCTATCGTTGGTAAAAAAAAAAAAAAAAACACGAAGAAACACAAGAACGTTAAGCATCAGCGAGTGGATATTTTTCTCACAAAACTAGGATCGATCTCCAATTCAAAGAACTTCATTTGCATGAACTTAGCGACCTCCATGAATTCGGTACATTTCCTGTGTACGTGCATCCCAAGAAAAAATTTTCAGCTTCCAGAAAGAAATAATAAAAAAGAATTTAAATGGAATGAATAAGAAAGAAAGAAAGAAAGAAAGAAAGAAAGAAAGAAAGAAAGAAAGAAAGAAAGAAAGAAAGAAAAAAAATTTCCATAGGAAAAGGAGATAAAAAGAATAAATAATTACTAAGAAAAAAAGAAAGAAAGAAAGAAAGAAAGAAGGAAAAAAGAAAGAAAAATGGCCGTAAGAAAAGAGATGAAAAGAAAAAGTAATTACTAAGAAAGAAAGAAAGAAAGAAAGAAAGAAAGAAAGAAAGAAAGAAAGAAAGAAAGAAAGACTGTTATTAATCTATCAAAGAAAGAACGTAAAAAAGTGAAGGAGAAAGAAAGAAAGAAAGAAAGAAAGAAAGAACTATTTAGAGGACAAAAGTAAAACCCAAACGAACGTATTATGAAAAGTATAAAAAAAATCGAAAAAATGAAAGCAAAGTTTAAACGACTTCATTTCAACATCGAAATGAGAAAAAAATGCCAACGTCAAATGCATCCAGACGCGCTTAAAATAAGGCAAAGGATCAGGAATGAAATTTGCAAAGATCGCTTCTGAAAAGACAGAAGCCAAAAGAGAGATTTAACGATGAAAACTACTCAAAATACAGCAAAAGTTCAACTCAATAAGCAAAAAGGAAAGATAAACTTACTTGGCTTCTCCTCAGCTGACCTGTTGTCGCTAAGGTTGTAAACGTATATAATAAGGTTTTTTTTTTATTATCATAATTGTCCACGGTACCATCATCCGAAACAATCTCACTTTGTAAACAACATTAAGATTTTTTTGCCTCTCTTTTTCTACCCTGAGCAGACAGAAAGAGGCCCAATATGTCACGGCGCGCCTTCCGTAATATTCGTTCTTCGTAATCTTTCGAAAACGGATTCTTAAGACTTAAAGACCACAAGAGAAGTCGGTCAAATCCGAATCGATTATTATTGGTGCATCTATTCTCTCCCCCCCCACACACACCCTCTCTCCCTCCTCCGTCTCTCTCTCTCTTTCTCTCTCCCCCTCTCTGCTTTGATTGGCCAAAAGCTAACAGTGCTTTTGTCTCTCATTGTTCATTGTCTGCGAATCGACTCAGAAAGAAGGAAATTATCAAAATATGTCTTATTCTTTTTCTAAAGATGATTTTTACGAAGATTGCAAGATTAATATCGATTTTTGGATTCATATTGACCTGCGTGGATATAACTGTTACGCTTCCTCAATATGCCAGATCAAATAACGAAAGAAAAGTACACACACACACACATATATATATATATATATATATATATAATCATCCACATGCAAGTCTGTTTTGCTGTCATTAGTGTGGTTACATGTCCGATTGCTTCAAGCCGGGATCGAAACTCAACCGATTTGGCATCCGTCATAGATCCTACCCCTAAGCTATCGGCACACGGCAGACAAAAGGAAATATTAACGTATTATATACGAGATATATACAAACGCCAGTAGCCAAGAGTGCTCAATTCGTAATTGAAGAGCGATGTGTTAATAGCAGCAGCAGCCACTTCTTTTAAAATTTACACTTTATCCGATGTGCTCAATCGTGTAAAGACAACATATATATATATATATATATATATATATATATATATATATATATATATATATATATCCGGGTAAAGACAACATATATATATATATATATATATATATATATATATATATATATATATATATATATATATATATATATATATATATATATATATATATATATCACTGCCATGAAAAGACAAATATTAGTTTTATTATTACCACTCATGATAATAAAAAGTAAAACTGAAAAACGGGCTAGCTAACAGGTTTTCGTAGCTCGCTCAACAGAGCTAAATCGAGGCACATAAAGTAAATTATTTAAAAACGAACAATGGACAAAATGTGTTGGGCAAAAAATATTTAGATCGTAATTAGTCGGAGGCCTAATACAAAGTCCTTCTGTTTACATAGAGAAGGCTTTAATGATAGAATAGAGATTGCCTCCAACGCTTTTAGGTGGTAATTTGAGTGGGACTTGCTAAGGATGGTAAAAGCGTCTGCACTAAAACTAACAATAAAATTATGGTTATTTATAAGGTGTTCTACGATGGAAGACCCGTGTGTATTGGTCAAAATATCCGAGGAAGTGTACTTAAGGTTTCGGATTTTTGCTGGAACGTGTTGTTTTATTCTAACATCCAGCCTTTGCGTCGTTCTCCCTATGTAGTGCGAACCGTAACTACATTCAAAGGAATAAATTAACGAACTATTATGATGTGCAGGAGAATATTCTTACGAATAGACGGAAGGACAGGTTTGACAAGAAAACAAAACGAGTGTTAGTGGCAAAGTAACAATATCGAACTGCGGTAGAAACCTGCTTAGCAAACCTATCACTGATACTACCTAGCCAAGGAAGGCGTAGGTACACAGGAAATCTTTTTACTATGGCAGGTTTGATTTTGTTGAATTCAACAATTTTATTCTTAATAATTGCTTGAACAATGCCTAATATATTATATACGAGATGTATACAAACGCCAGTAGCGAAAAGTACTCAATTCATAATTGAAGAGCGATGTGTTAATAGGAGCAGCAGCCACTGTTTTTAAAATTTACACTTTATCTGGTGTCCTCAATCGGGTAAAGACAACATAAAATAGTGTGTGTGTGTGTGTGTGTTACAAGACAGTCTCTGAAACCTTGGATGAATCTTCGAGAAACAAAACAAAAAGAAAAGATTATCGTTAAATTCATTCCCTCGCAATTTATCCAGCTTTTTTATATTACGTGTAAGAGGGAAACTGCATTTGCACAATTTTTTTATCTGTCTATATTTCTGAGATGAGGTATTATGTACACTATTTACATTATTCGGACTATTGTCCTCATCTTGTCGCCATATTTATTACAACGTTTCGGCCTTTCAGTATCTGTCTATATTTCTGAGATGAGGTATTATGTACACTATTTACATTATTCTGACTATTGTCCTCATCTTTGTCGCCATATTTATTACAACGTTTCGGCCTTTCAGTATCTGTCTATATTTCTGAGATGACGTATTATGTACACTA